ATTTCATTTTTGACAACTTCCAATTTTCCTAGATTCATACTTCGTACATTCCATGTTCCGATGATTAATGGATGTCTGCAGCTGTTTCTTTTCAATTTGAGTGGTGCCACATCAGCAAATGGAGGTCTCGAAAGCTTTTCCTTATCCATATGATAAGGTAATACATTCATATCTCATAGAATTTCTGGGAGGTCTGGGGAACAAGACTGAGAAGCTATATAGCTGGGCACAATACCACTCCCCACTCCAAATAAAAGAACAATTACACTCTAAGACTGTCACCATGTTGACCACTCAAGATCCCACCACAATACTGTGTCTGCTGCCAAGGGGGCTATGAAAACTTCAATAAGAAGCCCAAACAGAATATATTTAGGATTCAATGTTTAGGAAAAGGTTATCAGTGGTTTTATTATTTCTTTCTTCAAATTATCTTTTCATGAGGATTTGAATAATTCACCTTGAAATATACAGTCCAGGATTTCAAGATTAATTTCATACTAATTTCTGTTTGTTAATTGTATTCTCCCTAGATTTAATTTTAGAAATAATGAAACAAGAAGAGTAGAAACGGTAAATAGCTTTACATGTTGGTATTGATTCATATTTAATTTAATGAAGAATTGCCTGAAAAATTATTACATTTCAGTAATAAGACAATGACAAGTTGAACACATTCCTTATATGTATAAATTAAAAACAACAACACTTTCCAAGGTATGACTAAACCCTGGATTTAAAAACATAAAAAAATAATCAATTCTGAATGTCTGAAATTAACCCACATATCTAATATATTCCTTTTATTTAAACTTGGTTTCCAATCTTGCTTCTTTCCTGTCTAGATAGAGCTGTGGGATTCCTAGAGTCCCCTAAGGAAACGATCATTATCTGAGTTTTCCATACAAATTTAAATTAATTTGAAACAGCTTGAATCTTGAAGTTAATCTTCAAAGTTTCATTTATAAGGATAAGGTTCAAATTTATTATATTCTTATTTCAAGAAAAAGGAGCATTATATTACACAAACCATATGTAAAGGATTCAGGAATTCTGACCTGTGATCTTATAATTTTCTACCATTTCTAGTATACCAGTGAGTTCCTTAATTCATTATCCTTAGTGTATTCCTATAATGCAGTTTAATTTCATTTATAAAGAAAAAACCACAAACACAGAAGAGTTTATGACCACAGTACAGACAACACTGATACAAATATACTACCCACTGAAGTTGGAAACTGAATCATACATTCAAGATAAAATTTCAGAAAAGTTTTTGGTTTTAAAAATAATCCAGCTAACAGTCCCTGAAATATTCACTCCCAAGATCTCAGTGCCTAAGGCACTTGACTGCTAGCCAGAGGCTGGCGGTTCAAACCCACCAGCCACTCCTCGGAAGGAAGGTTGGGCTATCCTACTTCCGTAGTGATACTGCCTCGGAAACCCAAGGAGAGGTCGCCATGAGTCGGGGCCGACTCAACAGCATATAACAACAACAACAAGATCTCATTAAATACTTATGAAATGCGGTAAATAAGAAAATGTGTAACACAGAAACTTCTTTGTCGTGTAAGCCAATTTGAGTCAGGGTAATTTTAAAAAGTACACTTCCATTTTCTAGATGATTCTGTTCTAAGCCAGAAGGAGGATTCAGACCGGCAGAGCATGGCTGAGCCACAGTTTCAATAGAATCCTAGTAGCTTAATCTTGGTCACTGACACAATACTGAAATTCACTGCTTTTTAATGTGTTAGGAACAGAATGGAATAGGATTCTATTATGGTTTCTGGCTTAACAAAAACCTGGCTATATTTTCAAGACCCTTTAAAATCAAAATTTCTGAAATTTCTATACATCTCTAATTTAGTAAGCCAAGGGGAAATCTCAAGTATAAGAACAAAATTTAAAAAGTATATCACATTTCATTTACCAGTTTGATTGACATTTGAGTTGTTTCCAGATAGGGACTATTATGAATAAAACTGCTATGAATACTCATTCATAAGTCAATGTGTAAATATGTTTTCATTTCTCTTGGAAAATATCTAGAAGAGGGATTGCAGTATCATATGAAAAGTGTATTTTTAACTTCACAAGGAACTACCAAATTATTTTGCAAAGTGTTTGCACCATTTTATACCCACACTAACAATATATGATATAATTCAACTTGGTCACCAGAACTTGATAGTACCAGGATTTTTCATTTTAGCCATTTTCTTGGGTGTGTACTTATAATTCATTATGGCTTTAATTTGCATATTCCTAATGACTAATCATGATAAGCATCTTTTCACATTTAAGCCATTAGTATATCTGCCTTTATAAAATATCTGTTTAAGTCTCTTCCCATTCTGGGAATAAAATACTCTCAAGAATATACAGAAATTAAAAAAACAACAAAAAAAGATGACTTACACAGACATCTTGCTGAACAAAAGAAACCAGAAACACAAGAGCACATACTGTTAGATTCCCCTTATAAAAAATTGAAAACAGGCAAAATATATAGTAATGGATATCAGTCAGTGGTTGCCTGGTTGGGGAAGTAGAGAAGGCTGTCCACAAAGGACACAGATCATTTTCGGAGAAGACAGAAATGTTCTACATTTTGTTTGGGATCGTGGGTCTATGTGTGTATACATCTGCCAAAAGCCAGAGACTTTTTAAACACTTAAATTTTGTGGAGTTCTTATGTGTAATTTACATCAAAACAAAACACCACATGGATCAACATCTCTGAATTATAATGTTTCTGGTGTGAAGAGATAAGCTACCACTTAAGTTTTAAAACTCCTTGATGCTACTAAGTTGTTAACTGACTCTAAAGTCTATATTCAGGGTCCATTTTAGGCACAACTTAGGTTTACATTTCTTAAAAGACTCTGAGTTCTGAGTTTCTATTCAATATTACAAAACATCAGCTGTCCACTTAGGAAAAAATGAATTAATAAAAAAGGAACATTATCTGACAGGTGTGATACACTGTTGTCCTTACCACTCTCTGCCTCCCACATATCTTTGGTCTCCTTACCTAAGAATTATATTCCTAAATGACCCTCATCATTACTCATACTATTAATGTCTTTTGGCTTCTGAGAACTATTTATTTGGTCTTTAAAGAGGGAATTAAATGTCTATCGACCAAATGTTTCAAATGCTTGAAGGAGAATTCTAATCTTAAGGAACATTTCAAACAGTTTATTGTAAATTAGACCATTTTATGAATAATTTAAAATAATTCTGTTAAAAAAAATGGTTTAGGATCCAATTCAAATAAACAAATCTTAATTATTGGTTCAATGAGGAAATGAAAATATAATTTAAATGTACAAGGTCAAAATAAAAGCTAGATACGCACAATATTTTTAGGTGAAGAAAGTGTGAAAAGTCAAAGCTATTCTAATATTCTTTGTTGTTGTTGTTGTTATGTGCTGTCGAGTCGGCCCCGACTCATAGCGACCCCTCCTTGGGTTTCCGAGGCAGTATCACTACAGAAGTAGGATTGCCCAACCTTCCTTCCGAGGAGTGGCTGGTGGGTTTGAACCACCAGCCTTCTGGTTAGCAGTCAAGTGCTTTAGCCACTATGCTACCAGAGCTCCTTTAGTTATGTGCTTTATCAAGCTAAAACGTGTGTGTATGTGTTCATTCATTCAGTCAATCAGTCTTCCTCTATAACTAAAGGAAAACTACAAAGATTTTTTTAATTAAGGTCACTGATTTGTACATTGAAAAATGGTTAGGTGAATGTTTTGTTATATGTATTTTACAACAATAACTATTTAAAAAATATTCTTCTAAACTGATTTAAAGAGCATTTATTTGTAAGTGTATGAAAAATGTTAATTTATTCTTGTTAGTCCATTTAATAATGTATTTCAATTGTCTCAAATTATGCTGACCACATCAAGATTAATGACAACCTTTTGGTAAAGACTTTGCTGATTAAGAAAGGTGTTTATAGTTCAAAGTGCAATAACCAAAGTCAGGAACGCACATTCCAATCTGCCATCTGAATGATCCAACTCAATGCCATTTTAAGTATTCTACATAACCAAGATCCTCTTAGATTACAGGCAAGTACTAATTTTTTATTTTTTATTTTTTTGGATTTAATGGTAACTTAATCTTTTTAATATAAGAGTTTCCTAAATTTGGGAGAGGTTTTTAAAGAAGCTATTCAAAAGATCTCCATCCTTGACGTACTGTTTACCAACTAACTACCTGACCATTTCACATACCTTTATTTAAGCATTTGTGCTATGTTCTGAAGTCAGGCACTTACTCCTATCTTTTGTATCTGCTCTCATATACTCAACTAAATATTTAAGATATAGTTGTTTTTCTTTACCCAAAACAAAAACACAAACTCAGTGCCATTGAGTCAGAACCAAGGCAGTGTCACTATGGAAGTAGATTGCCCAATCTTCCTTCCCCAGAGTGGCTGTTGGGTTTGAACCGCTAGCCTTCTGGTTAGCAGTCAGATGCCTTAGGTACTACGCCACCAGAACTCCTAAAGTAAATCACAACCACGGAGGGATTCAAACCCTCAATCTTCTGGTCCAAAGTCAGACGCCTTATCCACTAGGCCACATGGTCTCACTTCTTTACCCAGCTTCTCAATTTTGTTTATTCTCTCCCTTGATACAACTTGAACTTTTTCCTTTATCCTCTACTTTAGTTAGCATTTTATTATCTTCATGTTAACAACGTACATTTCTTTACATAATGTAAGATGTAGTTGGGACAAACAAGAATTTAATTCACCTCAGTCATTGCATTAAACCCCAGAAAGTTAACCAACAGGGAAGAAACAGAGAAAGGACTCCTACTTTCTGGGAATTATCTGATGTTTAAATATATGTACTTTTTCACACATGCCAGCTAAATCATCCTCATCCCCCACCTCTCTGTCCATCCCTTGTCTCACAGACAAAGATTTCTGGTGAGCCTGAAGTCAAAAGCAAAATTGACAGTCTTAAGGAAGAAAGTATTAAAAAAGAAAATGTTTAGAAGAGAGCTTGTACAGCTATTGAATGGGCTCCAAACAAGGCTAAACTTTGTGGGATACAGACATATGTGTGTCCACAGGTATGAACACACCACACACAGATGCAGGCAAACACAAAGGAGCCCCAGATGACATAAATGTCTATTCAAACATGTCCACAAAAATAAAACTTCTCAGATAAGGGGAGAAAAAAAGACCATGAATTGTAAGGAAAATACCAGTGTGTAATATTAATAAAGAAAGGAAAATAAGCTTTCTCATAGGCTTACAAATCAGTGTCAAAGTGAAAAAAGTCAAAGGACACAGGGCTTTTATTGTGTCGCTGTTATTACATTATTATACCAACCTTGTGTGTGCATATTATAGAAATCACCCATTTGTGTTACAAAGAATTACTTTCAGCTAACATTGGAAACACACTACCTGATGTGAATTCTAAATGACAAGCTCCTCATTAATCATCATATCGAAACATTCATTACACTTCAACATAAAATCTTTTACCTCATTGTTTAAAATTTCAAATAAATGGAGCATCTTAAAGATTCACCTGCAAAACACTACATTCTTCTATCCCGTCTTAGCTCTTAGCACCTGACACGCTTGCCAATTTATTCTAAAAGGTCAGTGTAAACAGAGATCTGTTGCATCTTGGGAAAAAAACCTGCTTAGCATAAAACACTGTCATTTGTATGTTAGCAAATACACTTTGGAAAAAAAATCCATCAAGAAAGAAAAATGAACATGTTATCAATGCCACTGAAATTCCAGTATATAAGTTCTAATAAAATTATTTCTTTGTAATGGCAATATGATCTCTATATAAATGAGATTATACTACTGAAATATAGTTACTGTGTATGATACCTGGGATTATGTCATATATAAAACCAGTAACTAAAACATGTCTTAAACTTTCATTTACAAAAAGGAAAAATGTGTAAGGGTTCTAGGTTCTAAACTAGATGATCACTGAAGTGTGCTTACTTTAAAGTTCTATGCAATGTAATATTATTCAGATCATCTTCCATAAATTTGAAATATTCTCCCAAAAAAATAACTAAATTAATCGTCATCTTAAGTAATACTTTTTGAATTTAATGTCTTCTATCTGACTACAAAATGAATGCAAAAAAATACAGGATTTTATAAATTTAAAATCTATGTTTCGTGAAATACTGTAGTTCAAATTACAACACAAGATCCATTTTTAACACCAGTATGAGTCAAAATCCAGTCTTGTTGATAATAAACTCTTATAAATTAAGACTGGCATCTTTGCATCTTTCATCTTTCTTTAGTACCTTATATCTTTTCTAGATGATTATTTTGAAGCCAAAATTCAAGGAGCATAGACTTTCATTTTAAGCACATAAATTCTATCAGAATATCAAATATAAAGAGACAGCTCTTTACAATAGAGAAAATGAAAATGTAAAAAGACAGCGCCTCAAAATACAGAAAAATGAAAATCCTGAGCCGCAGAGGCTCTAAAAACTACAGTCACTAAGCGTCCCATCTGCTAATAATGAAATCACTGTTGATGGGATAGAGGGAAAAGCTAGAACAAAAGGAAAGAGAGACAGCATGGAAACAGCTATCATTGAACAGTCTGGCAAAACTGTAAAGCAAGGTCAAACCGTTCACAGTGATCACCGTAATACTTAACAAAGCGAAACTTCTCACATTCCCAATAAAAACACAGATGTCACAAATGCTTAATTCTCTAACATTTGTTTCCAGCTTACATAATAATGTTAATGAGCACTAAAACTGTAAAGAAAAAAAATATTTTCCCAAGTTTCCAAACTGAAACTCTGTTGTCTCACTAAAACAAAGGAATCTGAAACATCAGGCCAGTTACTCAGACAAATTTAACAACCAGTTAGCTGGTTTCAGACATTTAATTTAGATTCCAAATCTGTCTAATAAAAGTTGACCAGAATATCCACTTAACCTTGCTTGCTCCAGACAGCACTTTAAGTCTTTTGCTGTGTTTTGGGGTAAGGTTTTATTTCATTTTCCATGGCAGAAAAATAGTTATTTTCTTCCTGAACCACAAAATGTTCTCTTCAAGACTCTTAAAAGTTTTAACATCCTAATGAACACTAAGTGCCAGTATCAATAGCATATGTAAAGATTAGCATTTATTTTCATGGATATTACAAACATAAAAACATAGCTCACAATTCTTCTGTCTCCATCAGCTACCGTTACCTTGTGTTTATACAATTATGAATGTTAATTATCTTGCCTAATCCTGGCCTCAGAATCCTCTATCTTTTTCATTGATGCCTTAATATTACTCATTTTAAAAATAAAAAAGGAATCACTTGGCTCACTCTAGCTCTATGCTCTCATCACTGCAAAACTTATTGGATATACTGTCTATAGTCATGACACTTATTTCCTTCCCTCCTGTTCCTTTATCAATGCCCTTGGGCTTTCATCTCCACATTATACTCACTTTGCTCTGGTCAAAGTCACCAGTGATCACCATATTGTTAAATCAGCATCCTCCTCTCTGTTCTCATCTTACTTGATGTACTAGCAGCATCATTCTTAAAAAGCTTTTTTTTCCTTGGCTTTCATACCACCACATTGTCTTGGTCTTGCTTCCTACTGCAGGCATGCCTGTATATCCATTGCTGGTTCCTCCTCTACTCAATTACCACTCAATCAGTATAGCCCAGGGTAGTTTTAAATAAACCCTTATCTCTTTTCAATCTATTCTTGCATCAAGAGCTCTGGTGGTGTAATGCCTAAGGCATTTAACTGTAACCAGAAGGCTGGCAGTTCAAACCCACAAGCCACTCCTTGGAAGGAAGGTTGGGCAATCTCCTTCTGTAGTGATACAACCTTAGAAACCCAACAGGGGTCGCTATGAGTTGAAATTGACTCATGGCAGTGAGTTTGGTTTGGTTTTATATATGTATCTTCATCCCTGCCCTCTGCCCTGCATTCTAGACTTTCACATTCAACTGTCTCCTTAATTATTATGCATCTGGATGTCTAATACGCATATCAAGCTTAGTATGTCTAAAACTGAACTCCTGATTTTCCTACATCACCACCCCTATCAAAACATGATCTTCCACTAATCGTGCCCATCTCAGTAGAAGACATCTCCCAGATGTTCAAGCATAAAGCTTAGGGGTTTCTAAGCCTCACTTCTGAGAGACACACATCCAATTTAAAAGAAAAATATGTCCCCTCTCAAATCCATCCTCTTCTTTCCATTCTTGGTGAAACTAACATAACCTCCCACCTGTGCCTACTTATATAGTCTGCTAATCATGGTCCATGCTTCTGCCTTTCCCTCATTACAAATCATATCCCATGGAATTGTAAGAATGATCTTTTGAAAATGTAAATCAGAAGAATCAAATCATTCCCCTACCTAAACCTCCCAATTTTGTCCATCACACAAAATAAAACTCAAACTTCTTAGGCTATCCTACAAAGTACTTCATGATCTGAACCCTACTTACTTCTCTGACTTCATCTGTTCTACTCTTCCCTCTCACCCACATCATGTGATCCAACTGACCTGTCTCTCTGTTCCTTTAATACACTAAGTCTGCACCATCCTTAGAGACTTTGCACTAGCTGTTCTCTCTGCATGGAATTCTCTTTCCTGGATCTCTGCATTAGTGAGTCCTTCTTGTTATTCATATCTCAAGAATGCCACCTCCTCAGATGACTTTTCTGATTGCCAAATCTAATGTTGCCAACCATTTACACCTTATTTCATTTTCCTGTTTTATTTTCAACTACAATATTTACAACTGCCAGATATTTCTCTATTTACTTATACTTGTTCAGTTTTTGGCCCCCCTGCCCTGCCCCACAAGAATATAAGTTATAAGAGCAAGAACTGTGTACTCTACCCTTGGCACCTAGAAAAGTGCTAGGTACAAAATAAACACTAAAGTGTTTGTGAAATAAACAAGCAAACAAGTGTATGGCCAGACAGACTGAGTAAGTAAATGAATAAACAAACCAAAGACCTTCTTCACTACTATCCTACAGCTACCCCAAAAATAGAACCAGATGTGAGACTACCATCATCTGGAATGGCTCAACCAACAAAATTTAAAATTTTAAAACTCCTGACCAAAATCTCTTAATCTTCTACTTTATCATCTCCCTCACTATCATCTTGACCCCTAGGTCTGCAATTCACCCTTAATCTTCTATTAGATTCTATATTCTGGTCTATCTGTTTTCCTACCAACCTGAACCCCACAGTTAGTCATTTTACTTATGTTCTCAGAAGCACTCTAAAATAGTCTATTCCCTTGGCTCTGCATTATATACTTTGACAATTCCTAATCCATAAAACCCAACTTCTTCCTTTTTTTTCCTCCATTCCTACTACTGAACATTGCCAGAAAAATGCTTGAATATACATTAACTCACCAAAATTATGTTTTGGGTTCCCAACATTTACTAAAATAGCTTTCTCCAATGTCACAAAAATGCAATGGCTCTTCTCAGCCTTTATTCTCCTCTGCAGGATTTTATAATCCTGACTATCTGCTCCTTAAAATTCTCTACATTCATTGTGTGTCTCAAACAATACACT